ATTTGTGCCCTTTAAACTTGGTGATCACAGTGGCAGAAACAACCTGTCGTCTACTGTTGCCTCCTCAAATATTTGTTGCTGTATAGTAATATGTCCTCCAACCAGGCGATCACTGCAGTTGTGTTGGCTGACTACGCTTCTACTCCTACTGTCTATTTTGCATAGTATGTGTGAAGATGTAATGAGAATGCCAGCGACGAGGACACACTAGCTATATATAAATGTCTGGATTGGATTGATAATAACCTAGATAACGTATCTGGAATCCGACACAAGGTGTGTACTGGTATCTTGGAAAAACGCCAGAGACAATAGCAATGACCTAAACAATCATAAAGTAATTGAAGCAGACACTTAACACGTTTAAATAGATTGCTTTCCTAATTAATTCCCCTCTGCTTCTCTCTCATTTGCCAACCTCCTACCTTACTATCACTACCATGTCAAAGACGAATGACCACTGAAGGATGATTTCATTGACATTCATAGAAAGCTACTAACTCCTTGTCTTGTGTGAGTTGATCAAACACTGTTTGCACATAGGAGATGACTAAAAACCCCTCAGGGCCTATTAGCTTCTGGAGCAAATTTTCATGAGTAATTTTTTATTTTTTATTTTTTTTATGCTGCAGATGCCAGGTGCTGCCAACACCCAACGCAATCCTAGTCACAGTCACAGCTGTGTGCACAGTATGTGGCTGTAAAGTTGTGTCGATACAATCATAGCATCTGGAATACGTGGGAGGGAATAATTGATGGTTTTAAAGGAACAAAATGACTGCACAGCCTGTCCTCGCAAGAATGATGTCTTTTTTTCTTTACCATTCTTTGGCTTCAGTCGATCTCACAAACAATAACTGATATAGAGAAGACAAATATTGCTTTGTGTTTCTGCTGACACTCTCAGCTTCTCTCTTGCTCTGGTGAATCTACTTATCATCTCTGCTCACTCTGGTGAAACTAAGGCTGCCTTTTTGGGCTGGAAGTGACTCCAAAGAATGTCCAATACTACTTCTGCCACACAAATGTCTGTCATTGAACAAGAGACCTTGCTAATTGCTTCTTCATGCTGTCCATGTGTCCATTTTTCTTTTGGTCTCTGTATGCGTGACCATCAAAAGGCCACAGCAACTGATGAGTAAGTTTCGAGATCCAAAACAAGGTACAAAAATGACACAAACAGCCTAAACTTTAAGCACTCAGAAGATTGCTAAACCCTCAAACAGCAGGGGTGTAAAAGTCTGACATAATGGTAATAGTAATAATATCTAAAGGAGCTCTATGCAACATTCAGAGCAGCAAGCCACTATTTGTTATGTAAAGATATAGTGGAGTAATGGCGCCCTGAGCAGAGAATGAAGTCACACTCCCTCTGTGTGTGTTGCAATCTGAGCTTCTCTGTTTGTTGTAGTAGGCCCAGCCACATGTGCAAGTTGGTGCATGAGGGTCCCTGTGTGTGTATTCCACTAGTGTTTCTCTTTCCCTAAATATGTTTGGAACTAGGTGGATCACTCTTGGGGAAAGAAATCTGTATCCCACGTGCAAGCTAATCACCGCCTTCCCGCTGATAACGCCTCCCTGACCCACAGTGGCCGGTGTCATTGCAAAGCGTAATGCACATCCTCCAATCCCCCCCCAGGCTAACTCCCTCAGCTCTCTCAGCACTGTTGCTGTTGTTAGCACTGTTCACGCTGTTGGCGTTGTTAGCTAATAGCCAATGGCTCAGCCACCACCATGTTGAGAGCTGGGTGCAGGCAATCCCTTCTCAGACTCTGAATCACAGGTATGCTCTGAATATCATATAGAGCTTCACTCTACACCCACTATCACCCTTTAGAAGATGCATTGATGTAGATACCGCTTAAGACCAATCAAAACTTGTTATAATGATCAGATAGCTAGCTATTAAACTAGCTTTACCGACATTAGCCAGTACACTCTACCCTGTGGAAGTTGTTTAACAGCTAATGGCTGTAAATGAGAACTAACACACACAGTACTCAGTTTAAATGAATTTGAACACAGCCCATGAGCCTGATCAGAAACTACGTTGCAGAATTGATGTTGTTTCGCTAATTTGTATTGCCACACATGGGTAAGAAGCTAATAGGTTAGCGTGACCTGTGAATCACAGATTGGTTTAGCGATTTAAAGTGAAACAAAGTGTCGTTTCAGTCTGGTTATCGGGCTACGAAGAGGTGACTCCAGATTTGTTGTGCTGGTATTGTTACTGTTAGAAAGTTCCATTTCAAATGGCTTCAAACCGTCAATCAATCAATCTTCCCTCACAATTTTACCACCTACACTGTTGAATACTAAATGCTTCCACACATAATTTCTCACTTTCAGATGGTTTTGCGTCATGATAATCCATTCACAGTTGGTATCAAAACAGCATCAAATTGATAGAGTGATGGCACCAATTTTACCAATGTCCCCCTGCTACACAGCCTGCTGCAATTATACATGAAAAATTTTGAATTTGGATAGATCACTAGAGTATGTCATTTTTTACCCATTTTCAAAGGACTATTTGAATTTCAAATTAAGCTGCAGCAACATGCCACAATATTTAAACTAACAAACCAATGCTGTTTAGTTTATTATATGAACATTTTAAAACACATTAATTTAATAACAGCAATTGGCCAAGATGGAGAGCATGAGGCTGGTTACTCTTCACATACTGCAACAAACCAGTGGGAGTGACGTGTGTCAGGTGCAGTAAACTGTATTTCTTGCACGTGTACCCTTAGTAATTTACACTTGCTCTGTAAAGTAAAAGTGACACTGTGAGAAGGACTCCTCCTTCCTTGTGTCACACTGCCTTTATCTACTATTGACGCTGCTTTTCAACATGCCTTTCCAAACACAGGCTGTGGCCTCTGTGACTCTTTTAGGGAGGTGGAGGGAGCGGTTGTGACACCGCTGGACTTAAACACCCAGAGACACAGAGGTCAGTAAGGGACACAAGTGTTCCAGACACACTGAGTATGCTGGTCAGAGTCCAGGTGAACAGGAAAAGATGGAGGGTATCTGAGTGTGTGTGTTTGTGTGTGTGTGAGTAGCAGGGGGGGATGGGCATTTCTCCTGAGGGAAATAGCATTACATCGTGTCTACACTGCATATCTACCTGTCAACCTGCAGAGGCCAAGGAGCGCTCAGACAGCCTATGGAGGAAGGCCAGTACGCCCACATTGGCAGTCACCACACACGTGCATGAATGCACATATCCACATTAACAAACAAAAGACATCGCTCAGTGGACACATGCTTTGCTGCACAAAAACTTACAAGTATGTAATAAATTATTTACATACCTGTCACACACACACACCAGAGGTCTTCATGGGTTCAAAACGACAGATCTGAACTCTAATAGACCCAAGAATTTTTTTCCAAGATCTGATTGGGCCCAATCATTTTTAAAAATATATACCCCTATCTGTTTTTGTCGAAGATATTACAGACTCAATTTAATGCAAGTCTGAGAGGCAAGGGACCAGGGACGGGTTTATTTTATGGACTTACACACCTGGTAATTTAAATTGCTGTTACAAATGCTATCCTACTGCGAAAAATACTTTTCACATTAGATACAACATACTGTACTATTCATTATACTGCTTATTGTCACTTATTTTGTTGTTGTGATATGAGCTGCTGTAGCCATCTTCCCTGCGCTCAGCCTCCACTTTATTGACATTTTTTTCACCTTACCACTGTAATCTGATCCCAAGCCAGCCTAATTAACACACATGCATTTCTCTCGTAATCAGTGCTGATCGCTGGTCTTTTTGGATCCACTGGGGTATACAGTAACAGATCAGGATGAACAGATCTGGGACCAGCAGAAATACAGTCAGACCTGACCCAGACCCAGCTGAGCAAGATAAAATGTGGACAGAACTCGTATGGGTCCCTGGTCAAGTCTTGAGTCTGTTACTGCAAGGCAAGACAGCTTAATTTATATAGCACATTTCATTGCAGAGACACCTCAATATGCATTTAAAGGACTAGTGTGTGGGATTTAGGGGGATAAATTGGCAGAAATAGAATATAATATGCCTTCTTTAGCTTATTATAATCACCTAAAAATAAGAAATGTTTTGTTCTTCTTACCATAAAATTTCTATATCTACACTGGGAGCGAGCCTTTCTTTATGGAGATCAACATGTTGCACCACCATGTTTCTACAATAGCCCAGAATGGACAAACTAAATACTGGCTCCACATAGGGCCATTCGCGTTTCTTGTTTGCCACTGTACTAATAAGTCCAAGTGCGAAGAGCAGCACCGGAGTTACACTGATTTGTAATGTGTAACTGTTTTATTCAGTGTTTCTAGTGGTTTCAATCACCTGGGTTGTTTGTTTGTTTTGGAGAGGAAGAGACCTTTGTGGATAATTCAGCTTCTGGTTAATACTTCCTGAATGTCTGGATCTCATGTTGCAAGAGAAAAAAGCATTACACATTGGCATGTGTTGGACAAGCTGCCCGCAGCCACATGCCAAACTGCGTCAGGAATACATTGATTTCTAACGTTAATCTATGTTATTCTGCGTTTTTACGAGTTTAAATAACTGGGTTTGTTTGGTTTGGGGAGGAAGAGACCTTTACGGATAATTTGGATCCTGATAAAAACCTCATGAACAATGACCACTGAAGGAATTGTAGCTGGGAGAAGTTTTAGCTGGTTGGAATCGGCAATACACCACCAGTCACCACCAAATCCCCCTAAGTCTTACACACCTTTAAAAACAATACATAAGAAGCATTAAGCGTATGACACACAATGGCATAACACACATAAACACACATAAGGAGTAAGGAATCTTACTCTAAACTAAAACTATTAGACTAAGATTAAGGGTTTCAAATAATGTAAAATAATTCAGACCCCAACCCTACCAGACCTTTATGATGAAGACATCCACACAACACACAAAGTACATCTAACCATGATGTGTAAAAGTATGAGTTATGACAAACACTGTTACCTTGTTGGTGAGTAACTGGCACACTTGAGGGACATAGTCAATTAGGCATCCTCCACTGGGGAATGCTGGGATATGAAGTGCTGAGGAGCCTCCCAGAGCACTGATTGAATAAAAAAAGACACCAGTTAGTCTGTAAATACACACATTTAGATTACACACAACAGGAAGTTCTGACCATGCTCTCTGTGCACCACAAATTTTTAGGACAATTTAAGACTTTCGGTGACCACCTGCCATCAAAAAATGTATATAAACTACATAGCAAACACAAAACCAACACTGAGCACATTAGTTGGCTGCCATCTACTGAAGTTGTGGCATTAAAAAAATAAAGGGGTGACTCATGCCCATGGCATCCTCCTCATTCTCGTTCACTTATTCGCTTATTCTTTTGACGTCCTCCTGATTCAATCCTGCAGCACAGCTCCATTAGTGATTAGAGCATGCTTGTTTAATCAGGAAATCTGCTGCTGCAGCTCCCTAATGACTAACCAACCGAAGTAGTCACTCCCTCATTTTTTTTCTGATCTGGGGCAAAAACAGAGGGAATACCCTGAGGACAGGTTAAAAGTCTTAAGGAACCTCTTATTGGCTTTTAATGCTCATTTAAAGACACATAGAGGAGCGTTTCTTCCGCTGCTTTCTATTTATATTTCAGTCTTCATTACAGAAGGACAGTCAGAGGGCATGTTATTTTAAAAGCCAAGGCGGAGTGGATGACTGCCGTTTATCAGGTTAAGCATACATGATGCATGTAAATAGCCTACATCATGCAACATTATATCAAACGTCAAAGGTCACAAGTGTTGAGATGCAGCCCCTGAGGCTTGTTCTTTAGTTGATCAGGAAAGCTATGATGAGAAAATGGTAATAATGTATTTAAAGGTAAAACACAACAACAGTGAGTCACAGACCAAGGCCATGATCCCACCAATCCCATGACACCACCCCAGAGCTGTTTTTAAGTCTTTTGAACCAAGTCCAGGTCACGCCTAAAATCTTTGAGATGAGACATGTAAGCCAAAAAGCAAGTTCTTCTGGTCTATCAAGGATTAGTATAAAAGTACTTCATTTTTTAAAATTGAGACAGGGCATACAATGTCCACTTGCAAGTAATGAGTCAATAATCAGTAATGTGTCAAGCACCCAAAATGAAGGTGCAAACTGTGCCCCCAATTGTAATGTTTTTGTACATCACTGCTTCAAGTTTAGATCTTAAAGGAAATGACCACTTTAGAATGAAAATACAGACAGTACTTACTCACCCTCATGCCGACAAGAAGTCCTGTGTAGTTTTTTAATCCACAAAACTCGTTCAGTGTATCGGAGGATAACAGCTAGCCGGATTTTTCCATACACACTTGAAGAGCATGGAATCCACGTCCAAAATCATTTTGAAAATGTAATAAAACTTTGCTAATGCATTTCAAAACACCAGAACGGCTCGTCCGTCGTAATCCAAGTGCCCTGAAGCCGCGGCATGCAAAATTGACTTGAAAAGACATAATTTACTCCACTTTTATAGCATCATTTCTCACCATGGTCAGTTAGCCTGCAACTCGCGAGACTCGAGAAAAAAACGTCTCTGAACGTTCTCAAGTCTCCCGCAGGTTGCCGTATAAACACAGCACGCCTGCAGGCTAACGATGGACGAGCCGTTCTGACGTTTTTGAAATGCGTTAGCTGAGTTTTATTACATTTTCAAAATGACTTTGGATGTAGGTTCCATGCACTTCAAGTGCGTATGGAAAAATCCGGCTAGCTGTTATCCTCCGATACCCCGAACAAGTTTTGTGGATTAAAAAACGACCCTGGACTTCTTGTTGGCATGAGGGTCGGTAAGTACTGTCTGTATTTTCATTCTAAAGTGGTAATTTCCTTTAACATGCCTCTGCCTGGCCACTTTAAAATCAGGATCAGTGCTGATACTGAAAAAGATGTTTGAATAAAAACTATTAAAATAAAATCAGGCAGTGCGGTACACGAGAAATCTAACCTGTAAACAGCTTCATAAGCAAGAAAATTAGCTTTACTGAAAGTCAGTCTTAACTACTGTAGCAGCTGTAATCAGTATAACATAACACTTATTATTGACTGAATTAACTTAACTTAAAATTTCAAAACAGTGGTCACTCAAATTGTTATGCAGTATTAATAGTTTTACAGTTTAATGTTGACAGCTTTTCTTGATGATAGTGGTGCTTAATGAGCACAAATGAAGCCAAACGCTTGTTATTAATGTAAAAAATTAGAAAGGTACACTTCTTTAGCAAGAGAGAAAGGAACATCAGACACTAATTTTGTCATGTCAAGATTAGTACAGATAGTACAGATACAGAGTGCACAAAAACGGTCTTATCAGCAGTTAAGATCCTTCATCATGAAGCTGTAGGAGCATTTATATGAAAATATTTCATTAGATATTCACAAATGTCCTCTCAAATCTTGTGTGTGTGTGGTTATTTCTCATAATTAGTACAACTGTCAAATAAAAACATGACAATAATCTAATCAACAAAGGTCTCAAAATAACTCAAAGCAGAAACCAGCACGTATTCAAATAATTTGTGCACTCAATCATTTTCATGGAGGGAAACAGGTTATGTGCTGGAAAATATCAAGCCACTCATTTATGTGTAGACTGATACATTCTGTGGGTTGTTAGGAATAATTTCGTCAGTCTAAATTTAGAGTTCCTGCCAGTTGATTCTGGCACCGGACACCTCATCTGAAAACGTGCATTAGGTTAGGGAGACATTGCATATATCCTGGTTAAGCTATAAATGATTCATGACAGTTTGGCAAAGCTCCAAGGGATACGACTATATTCAGCAGAGAATTTTTCAATAGTTGTGGGTTACCAAGTCAAGTCTTCTCAGCATGCCTTCAAGTGTCAAGTCTAGTCGAGTCTTGAGGCATTTTAATCTCGATTTGGTCGAGTCTCACAGCAGAGTTGAGTCACAAGTCCACAGCTGTGCATCACCCATCCACAACCACAAAGAAATAGCTTTTTTTCAAAGCTGAAAGGCAGCCACTCACACCAACGTTCTGAGAGTTGCACAATCTTGAAAATTCCAGAGAAAGGTTGGGGGAGTAGTGAAGAGGGAGGTGCGGCACAGCATCATGTGCTCCACCTGCCATTACCAAAAAAACCACATTTGTTTATGGGAAATTGATGTCTTAAGAGAAGTCAGGGAAAGGTCAACAGTGACTGGACTCAAGAGTCTTAACTGGCCTGAGAAGTGTATTCAGAGTAACTGATGAAGGTGTCCTGCTCAGTGCAAAAACAACTGATTTCTCATCAGCTGCTCAGCTGTCACATACAGGAGCTTTTACTGATACTCTAAATTTACTAAAATCAGCTAAAGATAAGAATCACACCCACCCACAAAGATTGAGACACCTTAACAGCTTTCACTCGAGATCAATGGCCTAAGTTTTGTCTTTTTGCAAACTGATGCTCAACCGAATATTAATGAGGTCTTATTCACAGAGAAGCCATGCAAACTGTCATGAATCCATTTTCATTGTCAAAACCCTTTTCTCCAGAACTCCAAAGCCACCATTTACAGTAGGCTTTGTGCACATAATTAGCATTAGCTTGCGCATTTTGCTGTGCACCAACAAATGGTCGATTGAAAATGGCTTGCAGCAACGAGGAGAGAAGCCTTTGAAAATGAAAATCTAAATGATGCCCATCTATCCTCCCACAGATCTAAGAATAGCTCCATATCATTCAGATGGAAATGCGGACAGAGGCACAAAATAGATGGTGGTGTGTTCGTCACTCATATGTGTCAAGGGCAGGCATGTGAACAAATGTGATGCATTTTGGATTTCAATGGTTCTGCCTCTTGAACACTCAATTGAATGGGGGCTGACTAGACACCCGCCTATCGCACTAGTGTCAAACAAAAGGTCTTCCAACATCCAAAAATGAACTATTTGAGAAGTCCTAAACGAATGGTTCCTTACTGGTCCAGTCTTTGGGTCTAAATCCATTTCCATTAGACATCAGGGTCTACACAGACCAACTCAACACCCATTTATTTTGATTTCATCCATGTATTTTTCAGTGGATTCAAAACCAGGACCTGCACTGTGTGGAGACCATGCTTTTATTTCACAAGACGAAAAAGAAATACTTAAGCTACAACTGAGGCTTAAAGAAACATTGCGACAAGATAGTGCAATTAGGGCTTGTAATGTTTTAAAAAACCTTAAAAGCTTTGCGTTGGCTTTTCATTGCCACTGTTACAACAGAACACATAAACAGGCCTGATAAAAACGAACAGGGCAACAAAACAGCTGCTGAGCCGAAAATGAAGAGAAGAAGTTGTTTTCTACAAAGCTTTCAACCCAAGCCAGTACTTTGCTGCATTAAACTTTTTTGGTGCTCAGTTTAATAAAAACAAAGTTGAATAAATTTTCAGTTTCAGAATTGTCAGTCTGTTGTGAAGCAGCCAGCTTCCCCTCAAGCAGCCTCATTGTGTTGGTAAACTTAGGTCATGCGACAGTGTATTTAGGTACTTTACAATTCCTACTCCTACATTTTCAGTATTTCACATAAAGCTTATTTCTATGGAGCTAACCCACTTGTGGCCCACTGTGAATGGATCTGACCCACCAAGCTGGGAATTACTGTTCTAAAATATGATTGAAAGTAAAGTTTTCAGCCTCCACCTTGAACAAACCCAACAACCTCAGCTGAAAAATGCTGACTGAAGAGTATTGTTCTTGAACATGAGCCATGTTTTACTGCGGGAGGCTGTATAAATTGCATTTAGGTGCCAAAACTGAGAATCAAACATTTGAGAAGCTACACTTCAATCTCAAGGTCAACCTAGGTGGGAGGATTAAATTAAGCAGCAAGTTAACATATGCAAACTTGCACCGCATATTTGAGCAGTTATTACAATCCATAAAGACAATACAGGATTTTGGTAACTTGTGAACATGGAGTGTGTGTGTGTGTGTGTGTGTGTGTGTAAACAGTGAGGGGATTTCCCCAGTGATTCTGTATTGCACTTCCATAAAATTGAGGAACTCATACAAAGCAGATTACAAAAAGAATAATCAAATTAATGCAGCTGAAGACAA